CCAGGTCGCCCACATGCAAAAACCCCGCGTCAGGCACAAAAAAATATAAACGAACTGCAGATAGGTACCTGGAATGTGAAGTCTATATGTGAAGCAGGGAAGATCTACAATGTACTACATGAGATTAGGCGACTTAAAGTCAATATAATGGAACTAAGCGAGACCAGATGGCCTAGATTTGGCGAAATCGACGGTGTCAAAATATACTATTCAGGAAATGAAGATAGTCACCACTATAATGGCGTCGCGATAGTGGTTGATCGCAGTTTTTGCCAAGTTTTGAAGGCTGTAATTTGTTTTGTTGCCTAAACAGTTGCCTTCAAAAGTAATTCTTATCGAAAAGAACTTCCTAAGTCAATACTTAGGAACACTAGCGTTTCACAACTAGAAGAACTGCTTATCTAGGAAATTCTTTCTTAGGTATTACTTTGGGTACGTTTGAACTATTATTGATAAATAAAAAGAAGAATAAGAAAGAAATCACAACCTTACTTTTTTATTTGTTATTGAATTGTTTGTTTTCCAAGTTGGTTTTATTCAGTTTTGTCGTGTTATAGTTATTTTAATTATTAGTAGTTAGTTATTTGTAAATAAGGCTTGTTTAGTTTTTTAAATTATTTATATACGTCTAGTGAAATGGAGGAAAATAAAAGGACTGTAAATTTCATATTAAATAGGCGGAGAGCATATTAGATAAAATTAAAAATAAGTTGATTACAATGTACAGTATAATACATTTTTTATCTAGATCTAATTTCAGATAAGTGCCACCAGCTCTATTGTCATTATTGAAATAATTTTAAAATAAAACATCTTGAAAATTGTTTTTTATTTTATATTTTTAATAATACACTTTTAATGAAATCATGAATGGGCTTTTGAAAGAAAATACCAGTTTGTTAGGTAGAATATCATTTTTTATTTGTTCCAACACATATAAAACTGTTGGTTTAGAGAGACATTCGAAACCTTCTAAAAAAATCCACATTGTCCAAAGTTTCAAAATACTTTGGTCGATTCTTGATAACTCGAGGTCTTCTTTCTGTTTCTTCTCCAGAATCAGATCAGGAATCGAATCGATCTAGATTTTCGATAAACTGTAGTGCTTCCATATTATAAATAGTACCAAAGCAACAATTAATTAATATAAAATAATACAAAAAGTACATCCGTCAAAACTGTTCAAACATAACCTTACTTTTAACTATAAGTAATACCTAAACTGTTTAGGGAGATCGCAAAACGTATCCTACCATTAGGTAATGCTTAAGCGGTTTAGGCAATTCTTAGCGTATGGTGAAATCCGTTTTAGAGTTAGGAAGTACCTAAACCCGCTTAGGTAATTCTTAAATATTTAGGTATCGTCGGTGAAATCGGGCATAAATATTGTTGGACAAAAGATCATACAAAAACAAAAATGTAAACGAATACAAAGTCACACACAAGGAGATCAGGATAAAAATACGAGCAGCTAATGATAAGTGGTACAACGACAAATGTTTAGAGATAGAAGAACTCCAGAGAAATCATTATAGTTTTGAATTGCACAAAAAAAAGAATTAGCAGGTATAAGACGGTCCAACAAAAGAGTAACACCCTGGTTGATACGAATGGTAAAATAATATCTGATATTAAAGGCAAACTAAACAGATGGAGAGAATACGTTGAAGAATTGTTTGAGGACTACAGGACACAACAAAATAGCATGAACGATTGCGACGAACATGATACAGGTGCAAATATAACTAAGGTTAAAATAAATCGATATTTATGTTAATTATATATACAGATCTATTCCATAATTTTTATTTATAATTATACAAAATTTATAAGAATTTATTTGTGTAAAACATATTTGTAATGTTTTTGAAATAAAGTAATTGTAAAAATAATACGCATAATTCAACACAGATTTGATTTTCAAATAAAATTTTTTTAAATCTATTGTTAAAAGATATTATTTATAACTATAATACGTAAATATTTAAATTGCTTATTATTTAATAACCTTTACTTATAATGTAAAGTAAATGCATTTTTATGATCTAAGGCACGAGGGGCCACTAATTTAAAAAAAAAAACATTAATTTTCGTTGATTATAACCGTATATATTGCGACTTTTCTAAATTTGAATTTATGAATTCAATTTTTGAGTCCTTGTAGGCCAGGAATTGAAGCATTTTGGTTCGCGTTTTTTTCGTCCAGCATAGATTTGCTTGATATTTTCACAGAAGGTAAGGAATAGCCCAAGGATCATTTTCTATATCATGTCGCTGAATGCTAAAACCTTGGAAGTGGTTCCCACCCCATCTCGGGGTGGGTATTTTTCATTACATTTTAACCATGGAAATCGATGGAAAAAGTAATTCTAAGACAAAAATGTTCTTTACGTTTTTTTCGTAAAACTAATATTTTTCGAATTATTTACGGTCAAAAGTAACAGTTTTTCGACGAAAAAATCGACTTTTTTGAGAATAACTCTAAATATGCATTGAATAAAAAATTCTGTAGATATCAAAATTGTATCTTTAGAAACACAAACAAAATCCTTTTTTTATATATATACTTTTAGCTTTATATAATATATTTAGCTTTAAATAGACCTTTTCCTTAAGAGTGTAAGCGCAAAATTTTGGGCCAATGCTTTTTAATGCGTTAATTTTTTTCGAATTTCGAAAAGACAAAAAAGGAGTACTACTAATAGATTTATCAGAGAAATTAAGACGATCGGAGGAGTACGTTAGAGAACTTTTCCAAGATGAAAGAGGTGAAATGCAGAAAATACAAGAATTAAATCCTTTAGAGAGACAGAAGATCGCAATAGATGAAATCAAATATGCTATCAAAAACTCTAAAGACAATAAGGCAGCTGGATTAGATGAAATACCAGTAGAACTGTTAAAACTAGTGGAAGAGGATAACTTGGAGGTATTGGCAGATTTATTCAACACGGTGTACGATACGGGAATAATACCAAAAATTGGCTGAACTTAGCATTTACAACCATCCCTAAAAAACAAGCAGCAAAAGAGTGCTCTGATTATCGAACACTGAGCCTCATGAGTCATACTTTAACAGTACTGCTGAAATTAATACATAAGAGAATATACGAAAGGTTAGAGGAGGATATTAGCGAGACGCAGTTCGGGTTCCGAAATGGAATGGGTACTCGAGAAGGACTATTTGCCATCAACATATTGATTCAGCGATGTCGGAATGTAAACGTTGATTTACACTTGTGCTTTATTGACTACGAAAAAGCTTTCGATAAAGTAAGACATGAAAAACTAAAATCAATACTTATGAACATTGACAGTAAAATCATAAATATAGTGCAAACATTATATTGGAACCAAAGTGCCATAGTTCAAATTGAGGCAACACACAGAAGAAATGAAGATATGTAGAGGAGTTAGACAGGGATGTGTTTTATAGCCACTTTTAACTTATATTCTGAAGAAATTTTCTAAAACACGCTGAATAATATCAAAGCGGGAGTTAGCGTTAACGGAAAATTAATTAACAACTTACGGTATGCAGACGACACTGTGATCATAGCAACGAGTATAGAAGATTTACAACATCTTATCGAAAGCTTAAGTATGAATAGTGCTGAGATGGGAATTGCTATAAACGCTAAAAAAACTAAGTACATGCTAATTACAAAAAGACCACAAAATATACATCAACTATTGACAATCAATGGTAACGTGATAGAACAAGTAGACAAATATCAGTACTTTGATCAATAAAACCAATGATCATACTACAGAAATAATAAACAGGCGAGTAGAGATTGCCAGATCAGCATTTATACGAATGAAGGTACTCCTAACGTGCAAAAATCTAAATTTGCAGATCAGACTACCTACCATTCGCTGTTATATATTTTCAATATTATTATATGGAGCTGAGACTTGGACATTAAAAAATGCAATTTCAAAAGAATCGAGTCTTTCGAACTCTGGTTATATCGAAGAGTATTAAAAATATCATGGACTGATAGAATTACAAATAAAGAAGTACTGGAGAGGATTGGTAAAGAAACAGAACTAATCACCACTACACAAACCAGAAAACTGGAATACCTAGGCCACGTGACGAGGAGACCAAAATATGAAATTTTGAGACTCCTAATCTTCTTCTTTATGTGCCGTCTTCTACCGAAGGTTGGCGACCATCATACGATAGGTTTCTCTGTTTTGTGCCGCATGAATTATGTTCGCAGCTTCTGATATTTGAAACCATTCTCTCAAGTTTCTCAGCCAGGATTTCTTCTTTCTGCCCAAACCTCTTCCACCTTCAATCTTGCCTTCCACATGGCCCAGGTATGACGCTTTCCTCCTTTTAACAGTTGTTAACAATTCCACCTCTTTACCCATTCGTCTTAATACCTCTGTGTTGGTCACTCTGTCTGTCCAAGTTATTCTCAGTATGCGTCGATACAGCCACATTTCTAGAGCCGCTAACTTCTTTATAGTTGCTGCTGTTAACGTCCACCCTTCTACGCCGTAAAGTAGCGTAGAGAGTACGTATTAGGAGAGACTCCTAATGCAGGGAAAAATTCAAGGAAGAAGATCTGTTGGCTGAAGGCAGAAGTCTTGGTTGAAGAATCTACGTGATTGATATCAATGCAGATCGATTGAATTGTTTAGAGCAGCAAGTTCAAAAATAAAAATAGCCATTATGATTGCCAACCTCCGTAGGGAGACGGCACTATAAGAAGCCCATAACATCATAACGAGGACAAAAACAGAATACTTTGGTCGTGCAATTAAAGGACCCAAATACCATTTATTTACCCATATAATACAAGAAAAAGTGGGAGGAAAGAAATGGATTAGTTGAAAGAAACTTTCATATCTGTCTAATATTAGACAATGGTATGGTACCGCAGTACAACTTCAAATTTTATAGAGGTTTTTCCACTGTAAATTGGTCACACTTTATGTTAAAATAAAAAAACTGTTTGGATATTAATTACATCTTTTATTTTTAGGAGCTGGTACTACAGGCAAACAAGAATATGAAGCTCAAGCTGTATTTAACCATACCGAAGATTACGTTCTCTTTCCTGATGAGGTGACAACCTCTCTGTGCGCGTGGAACTCAAGAAATGCTTCCAGAAAACAGCTGATGTCTTTGGGACATAATGGCGCTGTAAGACTGATTGCTCATTCGCCTACTCAAGCGGCATTCTTAACTTGTTCTGATGATTTCCGAGCAAGATTTTGGTACAGAAGAACGCCAACATTGTAATTCTGTTTTTCGTCAAATGTGTCACTTAAAATCGTAATATAAGTTTTTTTTTAATTAACGACCGTATTTCATGTATAATTTGCCATTTGTTTGGCATTGTTAAAACAATATAATACTTAAACATGTATGATATAAGCAAAAACTCATATCCATATTACGTTATAATCAAATACTACTGAAGAAACAGATTGTGCTGCTTTTGAAGTGGATAATTGGAATTATTTCAAATAAAACAAGATGTAAGTAACAATTTTTTAGAATTATATTTCATAAAGTCTGATCCAAAAGAATTGTGAAATTTTCAAAATAAAAATCAACATTGTATCATGAAGATAATTGAAAAATATTGCCATACTAAAAGTCTTTTAAAGGAAAAATTAAAAATACTGTAACATTATAAACTTTACATGTTGTTATTTTTCTTTAAATAATTATTTTGTTCCAATTTCTTTTTAAAATGCCAGTCTATCTATCTATATAAGGATTTTTACAGCTGTCGCCGCCTTTCTTCTTTCAGCCAACGTCTCCAGTCCTTTCTGTTCTGCCATTCTCCATCTCTAAGGTCTCGTCCACTTCATCCCTCCATGATCTTCGGGGTCTACCTCTTTTCCTCCTTCCTATTGGGCTCCAATCCGAAATCATTGCTATCCACCTTGTATGATCTGTTCTTCTCACATGTCCATACCAAATTAAACGTTTTTCTTCGATGTATCTGAGTATATCTTGTTCTACTGCCATTCTTCGTTTTATCTTCTCATTTCTGATGCGGTCTATTTTTGTCACTCTGCAGTTTCTTCTTATAAACTCCATTTCAGTTGCTGTGATTTTGGACCTGTTTCGTTTATTTATTACCCAATTCTCTGCTCCATAGGTCATTATAGTGCGTACCAAGTTCTTTGTATTTCTGGTAATCTGTTTATCCTACAGCACCCCGTTAATTTGTTTAATACATGTTCTTGTCAGTGCTAATCTGCTGGTTATCTCTTGCTCGGTGGTTCCATTTTTTGAGAGTATGAATCCTAAATATTTGAATTTTTCAGTTCCGTTAATTTCCCTATTTTTTCCCTATTTCCAAGTTTCTTACTGGTTCTTGCTCTGTTGTTAAATATTCGGTCTTTTCTAGGTTTATTTCCAGTCCATTTTTTGTGTATTCCTTTTCTAATTTTCTTCACAGATCTTCTTCATCTTGAGCCGTTACCACTTGCTCATCTGCAAAGCTTAATGTGTACAAGAAGTTGTCCCGGATTGGTATTCCCATCCCTTCACATTTCCTTTTCCATGGTTTTAATACTTGTTCGAGGAATATCTTGAACAGTGTCGGAGATGTAGAGCATCCCTGCAATAAGCCTTCTGTGGTCTTAAATTCGTTGGGAGTATTTATTGCCGGTATCTTACCTTGTTGTTGTAAAGGTTTTTTACGGCTTCTATTAACCTCCGAGTTATTCTGATTTCCTTCATCGTGTTCCATAGTTGTTTTCTGGGAAATGTCATGACTTTTTTTAAATCTATGAATGCCATGTGTACTGGTCTATTTTTTGCCTTTTTTTTTTTCAATTAATTGTTGGAGTGTATATATGTGGTCTGTGCAAGATCTTCCTGCCGTGAACCCCGCCTGATCTCCGATTTTGAGATAGATTTTTCCAGTTATTCTTTCAGTACTTTTCCGTTATAACCTGACCATACATGCTATCACACTGATGCCTCTGTAGTTCCCGCATTTCTTCGTATCTCCCTTTTTATATATCGAGGTTATATATGCTTTGGACCATTCATTTGGTATTTCGTTCAGGTTTATAGCGTTATTGAACATTTCGTGTATAATTCTGTGTAGTTTGTCCGTTCCGTACTTAATTAGTTCCATGGACATGATTAATTCAATAACGATTCCTCCTGGTCCCCCTGATTTTTTGTTCTTTCCCTTTTTCTTGGTCTCGGTTGTTACCAAAATATCAAGGTTCATCCTCTAAATTTCTCTATCACCTCTTTGTCCTTAGTTCGCCATCCTTGGATGTTCCAGGTGCTACACGTTATTTCCCTCTTTCTGTTTCTCCTTTCGACGTTGGCTGAAATTTAAGACGGCTTCTCTTACTAAAAGCAGAATTGCAAACTTCACATTTCAGAAACATCATCTTTCCAAGTTGCAGCTCGGTTTCTGACATTCTCGTCCTCATGTGCGTCATTGTCTTGGTCTCGATCCATAATGCCAGCCATTTCATCAAATACTTCTGTAAACCAATAAATTATCACTTATTATCCAAGACTAATGGAAAGAAATATAATTTACTTAACGAAATATCTATTGTCAGAAGAAGAGTCGGAGTCATCGTCAGTCACATTAAACTCATCGTCGCTAGGTCCAGATTCATCATGCTCCATATCTGTTACAAATATCCTTGATACACTACTGTCAAATGAAAATGAACAGAACTTTTCGAATATACACTAACTCACCCACGCGCTTACAAAAAATCGACTACTTTACACAAAGGCTAACAGAGTAATAATGATTTCAATTTCGCTATGCTTTCGACTCGGATCCTAATCATGAGCATCAAGCGCACAGCGCTGCCGACTCGGATCCGAGTCATAAGCAGCCAACGAGTTAATACCAAGTGGTGTTCACCGTAACAAGCGTTTATTAAAGGGATGTAGCAAGCCAAGATCAATGTTATTACTACTACAGCCAACATCACTGCTGCTAGAGATGGTGCAACCACTCCTAACTACAACGTGGCGGACGAAATTTGTTTCAGTCGCCCCTTCCATGCGAAACACAGTGTACTTTCTACCATTACAGCCAATATCAATGAGAGCGAGAGAGGAGAGATCGTTGCTACTTACCTTATGCAGGGTGTTTAAAAAAATGAAACTACATTTAAATTGTTCTTTTATTTTATTTTCGAGAGTGGAAACTGTATTTAATGTGTTTTATACAATTTCCAATGTGTGCTACTCTATATAAATAACATTTAAGGCTTAAGTCGCATGCACCTGTTTATATTTGGTATATCAAATATATACACAGTGATCATAAAAGAACTTTGACTTTGTAGATGTATTTTTTGACATAAAAAAACAAAAATAATATCTACGCCTAATACTTAATATAAATTTCAACAAGTTTCAAGTAGAATGTCTTCTCTTAATAGGTACTCAGCACTAACATTTATTTTCTATCACTTTTAATCAAGATCGATTCTAGTCTGTAACTGTAACGAGCCACACTGTAATTTACTGCCTCTCATTTTGTTGAACGATAACTTCAGATCTTCCATCGATATGGGACGGAGAGTATCGTGAAACACCTCTTCCTCTTCGTCTTCTTTTTGGGAAGTCGTAGGAACGGGAGAATCGATATGGTTTCGCAAGTAATCTCTGACTCTATACACAGAGGCGTTTCTGCACATTTCTCTTAAATCGGAGCCTGAAAAGCCGTCGGTAGATGACGCTAGTGCTTCCATATCCACATCATCTGATACTGGTTCGTTTTCTAAAATTAACCTGAAAGAAAAATATGAAAAAACGTTCATTAAAGGGCTGTAAAAGATATAGTTATTTATTCTTATATTTGAGTTTGAGTTAATCTGATGGACTAAACTGTGAAATTTTTTCTAATCAATGATAATGGTCTAATGAGAAGTGTAAAAGTGGGACAAATAAAATATTTTGAAATATACAAGTCTAAAAAATGTTCTTATAGTTCTTCTTCTTCTTAGAGTGCCATATCCCTACGGAACGTCGGCGACTACCATGCTTATAATATTGTTATACTGATCTCGGTCTTGCGCTACGTGTAGCAATTGGTCCGCTGTCAAACCTGTCCACTGCCGCAAATTCCTCAACCAAGAGAGTTTCTTCCGTCCTATCCATTTCTTTCCTTCGATTTTACCGAATTAGCCGAAGGAACTCATATCTTGGTCCTTTGATTATATGTCCAAGATATTCTAGTTTACGCCTCTTAATAATATTTAACAGAGTTCGTTTATGTCCCATTCTTCGAAGAACTTCTTCGTTTCTGGTTCTGCTAGTCCATGGAATTTTTAGTATCCTTCGATACAACCACATCTCAAACGCCTCGATTTTATTCATGATATCGGCGTTTAAAGTCCAAGTTTCACATCCATACAAAAGTACAGACCACATGTAACATCTTGTAAACTTTTCACGGATTTCCAAATTTAATGAGTTATTGGATAATAGAGGCTTGAATTTTTGAAATAAGTTTCTTGCCTGTTCAATTCTACATCGAATTTCGAAGGATGGATCTAGATTTTGGGTAATCCAACATCCAAGGTATTTGAATCTCTGAACTCTCTGCAGCGGTTGTTGGTTTAATATCAGTTGGGTTGCGCCGATATCCACTTTACTGTTCACCATGTATTTAGTTTTATCGATATTTATCGACAGTCCCCAATTTGTGCATTCCATGTCAACTTTATTGATTCGCTCCTGCAGATCGTCGATGTTTTCAGTTAGAGTCACAGTATCGTCGGCGTACCGTATATTGTTAATTATTTCTCCTCCTATGATAATTCCTTTTTGATCTTTTAAAGCTTCCCTAAATAGATTCTCAGAATACACGTTAAAGAGGGTGGGAGATAGTATACAGCCTTGTCTTACGCCTCGTTCAAGACTGATTGGCTTTGATTATCTGTTGTTGGTATTAATAATGGCTGTTTGGTTCCAGTAAAGTTTGGCAATAAGTTTGATGTCTTTCTCATCTAGTTGGATGCTCTGCAAGGCGGTAATTAGTCTGGTATGCTGAACGCGATCAAATGCCTTTTCAAAATCAATGAAGCACATATATACGGGTTTTCTTCCTCCCAACACATCGTTGAAGGAGTGTTTGCATAGAAAATAGTGCTTCTCTAGTTCCAAGGCATCTCCGGAACCCGAACTGCTCTTGACTAATTATTTCTTCGCACTTGTTGTTAATTCGGTTTAGAAGAATATGCAACAGTATTTTAACGGCATGGCTCATTAAACTAATGAGTCTACAATCGCTACATTTCTTAACGTTTGGTTTCTTAGGTAGAGGAATAAAGATCGATTTTAACCAGTCCGATGGAATTTCACTGGTATCATATATTTTATTGAAAAGTACAGTGAGTTCTTTTATATTGTCATTTGAGAGTAATTTTAGCCATTCGCTGTATATTTGATCTGGTCCACTGGCTTTGTTGTTTTTGGCTTGGTGTATGGCTTTTTTCACTTCAGCTTTTAAGATTGATGGTCCTGTATTTGCACTTAAGTTAGGTAGTGATCCTCGATCATCCTTAAATAATGCTTTAATGTAGTTTTCCCATTCCTCCATTACTTCGTCTTCTAGGGATAGTGCATGACCTTCATTATTCGTTAATGTTATGGGTGTATTTCTTTTGTGTACTGTAACTTCTTTTATTTTCTTATGTGTGTTAAATTCGTCATGTTTTCGTTGCAATTCTTCTAGTTACTCACATTTTGCTCGCATCCATAACTCTTTGGCTTCCCTGATTTTTCTTTGAATCAGATTATGCTTTCGTTTATACTCTCGAGTTATTTCTATTTTTAAGCTGTCTTCTTTCGTCCATCATTTCGATTATTTCATCTTTCATCCACGCTTGCTTTTTATAATGGGTGACAGTTTCACTTTGCGTTGCTGTATCGATGATACCATTCTTTATGTTATCCCATCTTTCTTCGACTGTTGGTACATTGTATACTTGTGTGATGTTGCCTCGAATTTTTTCGTTCATTGTCTGTTCAAAGTGATGTTTAAATTCTTTTTCTTTTAGTTTTTGTCTATCGTATTTCTTTGTAATGGAAGGCTTTTTGATTGTCTTTAATTTTAGGTTGATTATATATTTCTTATAGTTAGGAAACCGATAAATTTAATAATTGCAGCATTGATAGAAAATGGCTGTTGACAACGTGAAACTGCAAGAATTGTTGGAAGTAGTTTATGTGCAGTTCAAAATACGTACCAGTGCTATAAAGCGACTGGTCTAATTTCCAGAAGGCCAGGATCCGGGAGAAATCGAATCACCACCCAAAGAGACGGTCGGTTTATGGTGTCCAAGTTTTCAAAATAGAAAAGCCTCTGCGGTTCAATTCAATTTCAAAATCAATGTCAAGAGGTGAGAAATGTTAATGTTAGTAAATGGACCGTTAGAAGAAGGCTTCGAGTTGCTGAATTATCTTGCAGAAAAATGGTATACAGGCCCACTATTACAACGCCAGCTAGGATAGCAAGATTAAATTTTGCCCAGCTCGCCTACATTAGAATAATGCAAGTTTGAGCAGAATACTGTTTTCAGATCAGATGAGTCGCGTTTTTGTCTCAATGGGTCAGACGGACGTCGTCGAGTATGGAGAATACCCGGAGAAATATACGCTGCGACTTGTAATGATGAGAGACTCCCATTTGGCGGTGGGTTAGTCTTTATATAAAATTGCTCCTTTACGTCTCACAGATATGTACAAAAATTTTAGATGATCATGCTACACCTTTCATGACTATTTTGGGCGAACGTGGTATTTTCACGCGAGATAATGCCAGAGTTGTAAGAGAATAGTTTGATTATGTGGGAAATAGGCGGTTTAATTGGCCATCACACAGTCATGGGCCCTGATTCTAATTGAGATTTCGACTCAAAACATGTCGAAATTAATATGGCGACGTCGAAATGCGACTTTGCGACCCTAGCGGATTTCAGCTGAACTAACCAAAGGACGTCACTAATTTTCGATTTATCGAAATTAATTTCAACTTCAAGAAAGTGGTTGACATTTCATTTCGAGTCGAAATTAATGTGCCATGACTGGCTGGACTGGGAGAAGTGAGATTGTTTTGTTTGATTCTTGCAAGGAAAACTGAGGCAAAAAGTATTAAAATGGCTGCGTTTTATGAAAAATTGTATGTGATTCGGCACATAATTGGTCAAAATTTTGACACCTATAAAAAAAGAACTGCGGTACCTGGGGGGCCCAAGCCAGATGCTGCTGATTATTTTTTAAAATACTGTGGTGCAAAAATGAAAGAAATAAAATGTCTGTAATAGTTAGTTTAATATATCGTTAATATAGCTGATACATTTTATAGATGATCTAGAAAATCAAGATTTAAAATACACCTCAGAACATTTTGATTTGAATTCTATAGAATTAGAAGCTGAAATAAAACTTAAAAAAAAGAAAAAGTAAAAATTTATTTGGTGCCAACATCTAATGGTGCCTTTTTACCCAGTCTGGTTATGCAAAAATCATCGATTTCACGGCAAAATTTTTCCCAGATATCTGAAGCTTTTAAGAACAATAATTCTGTGATAAGAAGGCATAACTTGATATGTTGACATTTTAACAAAATTGAGTTATCAACATCACTGTGTTCGTCTGAGCGAGATCTACAAAATGGTATAGCTTGATAATTCGAATTCCTAATACTACCGGAGATATAAGGCATGCCCACACCCGATATGTCATAAGTTGACATTACAGAAGAGGTAATAACTTGAAAAGTTAACATAACAATGTACGCCTCTGACTATAAGGTTACAAAGAAAAAGTTGTAAGATGTCAACAATTGATATGTTGATTTATTTAATTCTTACACTTTAAAAATCAGCTAATTTTTATGGTTCTCAAAGAAAGCATAACATGATATGTTGACATATCAAGTTGTACCATTCCTAAGAAAATCTTCTATGATAGTGATGCTGAATCTGTTATATAAACACATCACGTATTGCCGTCTTATTAAAGATGACTAAACTACTGAGATGCGACTATTATATAATTATTATTATTTTATCAAGTTTGATTATTTTTCAATATTTACTTTTTTTGATGTGTTGCCGTTTCGGTACGTTTGTACTGACACGAATGTATCATTTTGACCATTTTAGTATTTTTAAGTAAACGTGTTCCACCATCTATTAACAATTACCCAAGAAAGACCTAAAGTTCAGTAAATTATTAAATTAATATAGTGCATGTAATAGGTTGGCTATGACACATTTAGAAACATTTTTAAAACAAAGGGCTATAAGTTCAAAGAGCCATTCATAGACACGTGCAAAACTTGCGATGAATTTAATGTATTTAAAAGACATGCTACTAGTAAAGCTGACCGTGAAGTAATCGATAAAAACCATAATGTTCACGTTCTAGAGGCACAGGAGGGTTATGACCGTAAACGCGAAGACAAAAAGAATGCAAAAAACACTGATTACCAAAGAGTTTTGGTTTTTGACTTGCAACAAATTTTACCTGTGCCATATCTTACAACCAACATCGCTTATTACAAAAGACTATTAACTATGTACAACCATCCGTGATTGTTCACAAGAGAAAGAATCGTCAGACTGTTGTATGTGGAGTGAGCTTCAAGGAGGGAGAGGATCAGATCAGATTGCCTCTTGTATTTTAAAAAAGTTGCTTCAGTTACCAACAAGTGTAGAACAAGTAATTACGTACTCAGATACGTGTGGCGGCCAGAATAGAAACATTAACATGGCAGTTATGTTTATGTATGCTCTAGCCAAAAATGACCATATTAAGGTTATTGATCAAAAGTTTCTCCTACCAGGGTATACTCGCCTTGAATGCGACAGTGATCATGCCTGCATTGAACGAGCAAAAAAAAAGACTTGGTTCTTCAGGATCTTCGAATGCTAATGTAGATAAATTTAGAATTATGATTCCTCGTGATTGGTGTCAGTTTGTAAGAGCTGTCCCTGGCAAAAAAAGGTTTAATGTGATTGAGATGGACTTGACCGATTTCAAAAGCTTTTCATCTCTTTTAGTTAAGAATAACGTTTTGGTACATCGTAATCAAGATACTGAAAAAAAGCCAGTCGAGTGGCTAAAGATAAAATGGTTGAGATACACAGAATTTGGAATCATTTGTTTCAAATATGATCTGAATCCATTTTCTCCATTTCGAACCATTAATCTGATTTGCAACAGAAATGGCCGAAAGATCTGTGCAAAAAACATTGAAGTTTCGAACTCCTATGCCAGTACCCTTGGAGTAAATCCTTTAAAAAAGAAGGACCTCTTATCGTTGTTAACGTTAATAGATAAGGAGTTCCATAATTTTTACAAAAGCTCTCGACAACGCTAACAGCTCCAGAATTCGATGAGCTAAACAATACGCAAGACGACTCCGAGACTGAAGAACAAGTAAACTCCTAGTTCACTCTTTGTACAACTTCTTTTGTTTATTAAAGTTATATTAATTTCATGAGATGTTGAGTTTTTTCCCTAGTAGGTAAACAGCTACCAAAACTTAAATTGTAAGTAGGTATTTGTACAAAAAAACTAACTTTTTGTTTTTTTTAGTCGTATTATTGATTTTCCGATTACAAAAACATGGTCAAGTAGAAGATGGCAAAACTTGTTATGTTCAACAACCTTTAATAACTTTGATATTTAACAAAAATTCACTTACATACTTAACTCTTTCAATAATTGGTATTTTAGCCCTAGGAAAATTATTTGTTATAAATTGTACGTTAATATTTAGATTTACCAGAGACATTTTATCTTAAAATAGCTCTCCTGTAAACTTAGCGAAACTTGATATATCAAGTTATGGCTTCCTTCCACAGAATTTATGGTCACAATTTGATTTTTTGTCTATAAATTTTTTCCCGTATATTTTACATAAACAATATTTAGATCATTTTTGTATATCAAGAATATCTTTATTTTCCCGATGCTATTTGATCCAATCCCTGTGATTTATTGTTTTTCAATTTGGCTACTGCTGTTCTAATCTTGGCTATTGTTGGTGCCTGGTGGGCACTTTTCTATGATGTCTACTTGGTCTAATTGTATATCAAAGTTCTCTTCCAGCCGCCATTATGACATAAGTTTTACGTTTTTGCGCACAAATTGGCGCATTTCTTGTAGAAATGCTCCTTAAAAAGAATGTTACGGGATACTTAAAATCCTTTTTCACTAAGTGATGCTAAATTTAGGCAGCAATTCCGCCTTAATAAACAAGCCGCAAATTATTTGATAAGGATATTAGAACCATATTTGGAGGAGGGTGTTTATGCCTCTAGGATACCCAAAATGTTTAGGATAAGTATTACTAAGCTGCAGTAAATTTAAAAATATATTAGAATATAATCACTAAGTCAAAAGCCACCATAATTTCTTTTTGGTCCACAGACAATTTAGTGCCACCATCACCGACAGCCTCTCCATCCATTTTCTTTCAATTCAAAATATAATAATTGAGAATGGCCACTAAAAATTTAACAACTCAAACAAGAAACAAAAGGCGTAACGTAAACAAAACAAATATTTAACAAGCGTTGTGCAGCGTGCAGGAAATAAACAACACGGCCAACCCAAATTCTGAGCAGTGTCAAAATGATAAAGTAAATATCCCCACTTTTAATTAAAATCCTAGTATAACCCCAAAATCGCTAGCGATTGCGACTGTCATGGCGTAGTCGCTTTTAAATTTCGACATCGAAATGAAATAGAATCAGGGCCCAGGCATGAATTATATCGAACATGTTTGAGATGAGTTGGGCCGAAGTATCAGAAGGTACACCCGCTAAAAGATCTATCCAGGAGCTACGAGAGTTATTATTGCAAGAATGAGATAACATTGACCAGATTGTCATCCGTAATTTAATTGAAAGTATGCCTCGTCGTCGAAAAGCTTTCATTAATGCAAGAGGGGGAAATATACGCTATTAATGATTTTTTTTTTCAATAATGTTGTCTTAATCATTTTTTATCAATTCATATCAATTTCTTAATAAAAAGTCGGACTTTGTTTTAACTGTAAACTTATTTTTCACACAAATGTGAACCAAAAAGATACACATACCTCATGATCTGTCTCCTTTGTGCGGCGTTGGGCATTGGCACATGAAAAGTGGCAGGCATTCTTCGTAGAATAGCTTTATCCAAATCCTGGGGTCTATTTGTGGCACCCATCACGATGACGGTACAATTTAAATCTGTAATTAGACCGTCCCAGAGAGACATAAATTGTGCTTTCATCATAGCCGTAGCTTCGTGATCTGAACTTGTGCGAGATCGAAGGAAGGAATCGATTTCGTCGATGAAAATAATGCAAGGTTGAATTTTAACGGCTAATGTGAAGACTGCAGCTGCTAATTTTTGGCTTTCGCCGTACCATTTGTCAGTCAGAATGGATAGATCTAAGTTGATAAATCGGGTACCGGCTTCTCTAGCAGTGGCTTTTGCAATAAGAGTTTTTCCACATCCTGGAGGTCCGTGTAGAAGTACACCTAGAAATAATTTTAAAAATTGTACAAAAAACATAAGAATTTTTACTGATAATTCCGATATATGTCATTAATAATGTGATATGCCCTCTAATTATTTATTGCTCCAATAGTTTACAAATTTCGAGAGTGGCAACAATTAGTTTTTTTATTATTTATGCAATTGGCAGTTAAAAACGTAAAATATGGTATATTATCGCAAAAGTAAATTAATCTCGCATTAAAGTTTCAGGTTGACTAGGTAATTTGTGGTTGAAGTAAATACTGTCAGTAATAAGTCTGGGCGTGATAAGGATACAGAAGCAGTCACTATTTTTGATTACTATTTATTTATTTTCAACGGGATGCTGCCCAATAAGATTTACAATGTTTACAATTTATACAATAAAACAAAGTAAAGTATAACATCACAAACTTAATCACGTAATTTAGTTTTACACATCAAAATGATGATTACCTATTCCACAGCCACTCAAATAAACACATGCCTGAGACCAGAAATTAATTCGGCCTTAGGTGCAAAAAAATCTAGATCTGGGTGAATATTTGCCCATCTTAGTGCTTGAGATAAAAAATTATTATATCGCTGTTGGGCGTGAAAAAGGTGACAAGTCAATTTTTGATGAAAACGGGATTAACCTAAATATAGGATAAAAAAAAAGTACGTTTTAATGGTGTGTAAAAGGGGACTAGTCAATGTAGCTGAATTTGTATGTAAAGTTGATTGTTCCAAAGGAGACACTTACAAAATAGTACATAAAGTTTAGTGTAAAAAGGGATATGTTAACATATTCCTTTTGGTACTGCCCATATCAGTATTTCTCTTAGTGAATAGTGAGACAACTTGACTTGTCCCCTTATTCACGGTTAGCTTTTAATGTAACTAGCAACCAAATTAACACACATAACCTATAAATTAATATGCAATATGAGTCATAGTTGTGATTATTATTGCAAAATAAAAATATTTGTTTAAATTTAGTAACACAACGATGAAGTCCACAACGGCAGACACGGCGGAGAAGAATACCTTCGGTACGGCGTGGACGGCGGAAGTGGCAATCCCCTGATTTTAGGGATTGTATAGAATCACTCGCCAACCCGCTCGGCAAGCGTGGCGTTTTAAATATGCTAAAACCTCCCAAGTTGAAGATGTCGAGTATCAATATCAATATCACACTGAGCAATCAGTCAGCCTCATGGATTCTGGGGGAGGCAAATATTCGACTGAATCTAATAAGAAAAACTACCCACCATTGCTTCGTATAGCCACTTACAATATAAGAACTATGAGGACCCAAGAACACCTTGAAGAACTAGAACAAGAGCTCTCAAATATCAAATGGGATATAATTGGACTGTGCGAAACTCGCTTACCAGGAGAAGCATGTACCATCTTAAAATCTGGTCACCAACTATACCAGAAAAACTCCGTAGAAAATCATCACATAGGCGGTGTAGCGTTCCTAGTAAACAAACGAACTCCCTATAACATAACGAAGTACTGTGCTGTATCAAACAGAGTCATATATCTTGTCATCGCTTTAAACAGCAGATACAGCTTACAGATAATACATGGATATGCACCGACAGGAAACTCGACAGACGAGGAAGCTGAATCATTCTACGAGGATCTGACAACAGCAAGGAACCAAGAAAAATCACACTTCGTAATAATCACAGGAGATTTTAATGCAAAAATTGGTACAAAAGAAGACGGCGACACACAATATATCGGTCGCTTTGGGCTGGACAACAGGAACGAAAGGGGTGAGATGTTGTACAACTACTTAAACAACGAAAATTTATTTTGTCTCAACACTTTCTTTAAAAAATCTAAACAACGTAAATGGACATGGATCAGCCCAGACAAGAAAACTAAGAACGAAATAGACTACATACTCTCCAATAACAAAAACATATGCACCGACGTGACAGTACTAAACAAATTCTATACCGGGAGTGACCACAGATTGGTTAGAGCGAACATTAAAATACAGACGAGAGTAGAACGAAGCAAACTTATTAAACGAGAACGATACCCAACCACCGATGTCCTGTCTCAAAAACAAACGGAATACCAAAAAGAACTAAGCACAAGACTAAAATCAATAGAGACACTGAAACAATTGGATATAAACGGACTAGCCACTAAAATAAAAGTAACTGTAACAACATCGGTTAAGAAAATTTGCTCAAACACGAAAACAGCCAAAACATCTAAACTCCAACCTAATACAATTAAACTACTCCAAGAAAGACGAAACAGAACAGATCGAACTTCGGACAGCTTTAAAAGTTTAAACAAAAATGTGAAGAAAGAAATCAGGAACGATCATAGAAACTATAATAACAATCTAATAAAAAATATAATACAAGAAAACTGCAACATGAAAGTACTCAAAGCAAAAAACTCAAGCGGCACAACAAAAATCATAGAAATAAAAAATGAGAAAAACGTCACCGTCAGAGACAGAAAGGAAATAAGCGAAGCCATTGAAAAATTCTACACTAAACTATACTCGGTAAATACACAACCACAACAACGACGTACTCAACGAACAATAATTAACACCGGCTCAGAAGAAATACCGGACATAACCGACTATGAAATAAGAATGGCCCTAAATCAACTTAAAACGAATAAATGTCCGGGAGAGGATAAGATTACAGTTGAAATGTTGAAAATTGGTGGCAGAAAAATGGAACAGGTATTAAATGTTTTATTTAATAAAGTAATTGATGAAGGAAAGATTCCTCAAGAATGGTACAACTCCGAGGTCATTTTATTATTCAAGAAAGGAAACAGAGCAAACATCGAGAATTACCGACCAATATCCTTGCTATCACATCTGTATAAATTACTTACTAAAATCATAACCAACCGCCTAACACATAAGCTCGATTTCTATCAACCTATCGAACAGGCTGGATTCAGAAAACATTTTAATACCATAGACCACTTGCACACCGTAAGAACACTGATAGAAAAATGCACTGAGTATAATGTTCCAATTCATATGGCGTTCGTCGATTTCCACAAAGCATTCGATTCCATCGAATTATGGGCAGTGCTTGAATCTCTAGAAAATGCACGCATAGATTCAAGATACATTAACATAATTAAAAACATATATGAAAATGCCACAATGCATATAAAACTGGACGAAAGCACAAAAACTAATCCCATAAGACTACAACGGGGAGTAAGACAAGGAGACACCATCTCTCCCAAACTATTTACTCTTGCTCTAGAAGATATTTTTAAGAAACTGGAATGGAACAATAAGGGTATCAACGTCGACGGATCATACTTAAACCATTTGAGATTCGCAGATGACATAGTTTTAATAGCCGATAATATCCAAGAACTAAATGATATGTTACAACAATTAAATGCAGTTTCAGGAGCGGTAGGCTTAAAAATGAATTACAGCAAAACAAAAATACTCAGCCGAGACCAGACAAATATAACAATACAAAATCATACCATAGAAAATGTGGAACATTATGTATATCTAGGTCATGTTATCAAACTAGGAAAACCAAATCAAGATGCTGAAATTAAAAGAAGAACACAACTGGCTTGGGGCGCTTTCGGCAAACTAGCACATATCTTGAAAAACACCTCCATTCCTATAAACTTAAAGAAAAAAATTAGAAACAACGCAAAGAGCAATGGAACGAATCATGCTTGGAATATCACTAAGAGACAAGATTAGAAACACCGAGATACGACGTAGAACGAAGATTAGGGATATTGTGGAAGAAATTACAAAAATGAAATGGCGCTGGGCAGGTCACGTAGCCCGATATAATGACAACAGGTGGACACGGAGAATTCTAGAATGGAGACCAAGGACGACAACAAGAAGCATGGGAAGACCTCAAAAAAGATGGGTAGATGACATAAGAGCGGTGGCAGGCAAACAGTGGATTAGATTGGCGCAAGATAGAGAAAGATGGAAGCAATTGGGAGAGACCTACATTCAGGAGTGGATGGAAAATGGTTGACAAAGAAGAAGAAGTAACACCGATATACACTTCTCCAAGAAATTAACGCACCACTTTAATAAATCAATTTTATTTGTAAACAGTCAAAGAATAAAAAATAAAACTTCACCAGATTTATTCTACATTTTATTAGTAACTATAACAATTTGTGTTTTCACCTCTACTACGTATAACAGCCTCACATCGTTGGCCCATACTTAAAATTAATTGCCGTATTTCATTTTGGTCTAGTTCTCTCCAAATCTGCATCAGCCTCTCTCCCACTTCCTGAAGTTGTTTGGTTGGAGCGGTGTCGCTCTTAATCGCCTACCAAGTATAATATCCCAGATATTTTCAACCGGATTTAAATCCGGACTATGTGCTGACCATTCCATAGTGTTAATTTGTACCTCTTCTAGATAATTTCTGACGATCTGTGCAGCGTTATGTCTGGCATTATCTTGCATTAGTAAGAAATGTTCACCGTTATAAGGAGCGAATGGTACTACATGTTGCTCCAGGATCTCCAATATGTACCTTTCCGATGTAACAGTTCCATTTTGTATGACCACTAGGTCCGTACGTGCGGTCAAAGAAATACCACCCCACACCATAACGGATCCTCTACCAAAAAATGTGGTGTGTGAGAAGTTACACTGAGCATACCGTTCGTTGGGTCGTCGCAACACACGAACACGTCTGTCGTTATTGTACAAACAAAATCGGGATTAATCAGTAAATAGCACTCGTTCCCAGTCAGCCTCTAACCAATTAATGTGTTTTCTGGCAAAATGTAGTCTCCCCTTCGATGTTCTGCAGTTAATAGAGGATCTCGGGCGGCAATCCTAGGTGTTAAGTTGTATTCCCTAGTCGTTGGCGAACAGTTTCAGTACTAATTTGTATAGCATGCACGTCTCGAAGCTGAATTTGTAGACTTCGATGTGTTACAAAACGTTGTCGAAGAGCAGAAATTCTTAAAAATCGATCTTGAATAGGGGTAGTTACCCGGT